TTAGTTGCCACTGGATATCATTCACATGCCTTCACTTCACTGCCGGTCGAACACATGATGACCGGTCCAAGAGAACTGGAAAGGCTTTCTGCCTTTGTTTTCTGCCTCAGGTGTGCCGAAGATCGAAGTGTCCTTTGATGTCAATGTGGAGGCAGACACAGATTAGAAGCTAGATTATCACTATTATAGTAGAAGGCTGGCAGTTAGAATATTGACTACTTCCAAAACCATAATTATATAATCAAGGAGTTTGGGATACCTCTATGCATCACCATATTCTAGCTACAAATGTACACAGAAAGGGGTGGACTTGCACTTAGAGTTTGAGATTGCTGCAGTATCAGTTCAAGGTCAACCAGATCAACATCAGCCCTGTATACATATATAATATATGATATATATATATGTACTGAGAGTGTGTTGAATATATAGTGCTGCAATTAGAGACACTTAGAGTAATTTCCAATTAATGCTTCTGGGGGCATTGGAGATTATTCTATATTTTTTTTGGGAAGCAGTTAGAATTTGTGGCTGGATGAGAAGTCAAAGGCTTTAGACAGGATATATGAATGCGATTCGGGAAGGGAAAAGCATTGCGGCCAGTGCTTTCGTGTATGCCATATTCTATGTGCGAGTGATTTGTTGTCCTTATTCTATGTCACAACTTTTGCTTTCTCAAAATCACTAATTTGAGCGTATTCTATTTGCAAGTGATTGTTTCTCAGTTTAACATATTCTATTTGTTAGGACTCTACTATATAATTACATAAAACCATTGGTGTTGTAGAACTGCAGGCAGCTGCGAACTATATAGATGCTTGAGGGGCAAGAACCAACATACAAAGCACTTCCACTGCCTTACGGTCCTTTGTCTCTCCCACTACCAAGTGGACATGTCCAAAGATGTTGAAGCGATGTGAGCAACACAAGAGCCTCTGAACGACTCTTGAAGACTTCACTGCAAGTGCCTAGCTCCAGTCTAGATCCTCATTGACATGGCCACTAAAGGGGGCATCAGGAAGAAATATGTGTTGGGTCAGTCAGGATTTCACCAGTCAGGCTCGCCAGATGAGTGCCAAGAGTGAATAAAAGGTCCCGATGGGAGGATTACGTTGTCTTTCCACCAACCACGGCCGGATAGCTGACAGGGCATCTTGACGGTCTCTGCAAGGGATTGGGGCACGAATCAAAAGAAGTCCATCCGGATTGAGGAGCCTCTGTGGTCGTTGTGCATTGTTGGGCTCTTCAATTGTGATCTTTATGTTGGATCCGAGGATACTGTGCCTTGATGGTTAGCCCGGTTTGTACCAAATACCTGCCTTGCAGAAGTTGCTTCTAGTTTGGGATGCACCTTGATGTGTTTGATTGAAAAGCAGTGTTTTTGCTGCCTTTGGTTTGTTGAATCTTGCAAGTAACATTTACTTGATCAGAGTTTGATGTTTCGTCTTGAAATCTTTTCATGGTGCATATTGTACACTTCCCAATGCAACAAGCTTGTTGAGAGTGACGAGCTTGCACATCTTGTGGAGGACTCCGCCTCGCTGGAGGATGCTGAGGCTCAGTCTAGCTATCTTGCTTTGGTTCAGCTAGTGCGTTCGTTTCCCTTGGCCTTAAGTTTTGAAAAGGTGGCAAACCATAGCCTAGCAAGGCACAGCAAGGTTGAAGAGTGAAGCATTCATTCCTTTACATATCTCTGTACCCGTCAGGCTAGCAAGGTTTGCTTTGCGACGTCCGTGTCAGTTAACCGTGATTTTTGTCACCTTCGATATGTCTTTACGTTTGTTTGGTATGTGTAAATGATCCTGGGATTGTGGGGCATTTTTTCTATTTATTCATGGATATCTACCCTAGCTGGCGCTCCTGTAGTAGTCCATTCTTATGGTTTCCGCTCGGAAGGTCCAGCGGATTTTGGACGAGGCAGAAGAGAAGTGGACAGAAGCTTGTTCGGAGCTTGCATGTGTTCAGCTGCTGTCCGTCCGGAGAGCACGATTAGATCACGATTAGAGAGGAAGCAACCGCCGTCCGAAATCTGTGGCTTAAGGATTTGCTTGTTCGAAACCAAGACCTGCGAAGAAACCTTTGCAGGCCACCCACCATCCTGCCGTCCGTGGTTTTCGTCCGAGGTTGGTTCGAGGTTGCGCAACGAGCGCGATCAGACCAGACCTGCCGTGCCAAGGAAGACGAGGAAGCGAAGTTTCAGTTGGAGCTGAGGCGCATGGCATCGACGGTTGGGAGTTGGGTTGACGGTCGACGAGATTTATTGTACAGATGTTTCTTTCAGAGGGCATATTGAGTGGTGCTCCTCAATTGCATGGGTGTATGGTTATAGAAATATGATATTCATATGTCATCTCAATGGTGACAGACGCCGTCACCGCCTGTTCATGTTGTGAAAGAATTCGCACCTGCTGGCCATCAGAAGAGTCTTGTTCTTCGGAAGTTTCACTGGTTTGAGCGGGCCAATGCTGCTGCAGGTCTGTGGGGCCTTGCTTTGTTCACTGCTTTTGGCATAGATCAGATCCGATCGCAACGAGCATCATCGAACAATCCTGACAACGAGCACCGCGCAGATACGCTGCCAGCAAGCTTTTGGAGCAGACCGACCAGAATCTCTTAGAGCTAGGAGAGACCGACGGGTTTCATGAGACCGGCGAGTCTTCCTGCAGAATTCTCCTTGCTGTTGTGTGATGTACATGAAGAAAGGGTTCAAGTCTTGGTTGCGGAATAAGGCATTGATTCAGCGGCCTTGATTGGTAACCATGCCTTGCCACCCGAGTGAAAATCTCAAGAAGCATGCTGACGTGACCGGTGACCACCCCTCCAGTTGATTCGTGCTGATTCCTAGACCTTTGCTTTTCTTTGGGAGTGTTCTGTTCTCATAATCCTCACTGGCCTGGAGGATACAAGGCCCCAGCGGATGCGCGCGCAGCATTAGAGCCAAAGATGGAGGAAGTCAAGGCCAGAGCTTCGCACGAGCTTCGCAAGTCCCGATGCCCAGTGAAAGTGTGAAACAGACAGGGAGACCGACTGGATAGGTCCCGAAATGCAGAAGGTGCTCGACTTGGAGTCAGACACTGATTCAACGTTACTCAGCTTGACTTGGATTGCAGGCAGTTGCAGTGACTGAACCACCCGCGACAGGTTTGCCTAAAAGACGGCGAAGAACCTGACTACTTCCAGCTCATGGATGCTGTCGATGTCGCCAAGCAAATGACTGGCCAGTTCATAATATGGTTTCATTGAGTTTGCTGCAATGTCAGTTGTTTGCCAAGTAGAGTCTACTACTAAGACTAATTGACTTCATGATTCGGCTATTTAGACGGTTTAGATCGGTTTAGATCGTTTTCTCCAGAGTCTGAGCGGGTGGGTTGGGCCAACCCCCTGCACATATCTTTGTTTGGCCAGAGATTTGACTTGTTTCGAGCCCAGTCTCTTCGTTTCGAGCTCATGAAGCTGGGCTTACGCGTGTATGGCAAGCAGGCCAGAGGGGAAAGAGGTCTGGTACTGAGGAGCTAAACCGTGAGAAGCAATTTGTCTACAGTATTTGGGTTGATCACAGCAAGAGTTTGTCAAAGCTTCATGGTGTGTATATATATATATATTATACAATATATATATATGGTGTAGTAACAGTATGACATGAGGATGAAAAAACACAATGCTTGTTGCGTGGATACGCTGGGACCACTGGGACCTGCGAAGCAGACATCATGAGACACCAATTGATTTGGGGCACTCATTGAAGCTGGTCAATTTATATACCGTATGGGACAGGGTGAGTCTAGTGACTCTAGTGGTCACTTTAAACTGGCTACAGTACCAATGCCTGCTGCTGGATTTCAATCTCACAAGTGCAAGCATTTGTAGCCTAGCAGCTAGCAAATCCGTACGCAGGGTTTGCAGGAGGAGTGAAGGTCCTGCCTACAACAGCTGATGCCATTAATCATTGGGGTTACACTTTTGTCCAACATCATCCCCGACCCTTCCTGGCTTTGCATGCAGAAGATGTCAGACGCTTTATCCAGGGGTCGGAGAAATGAGAAAGCTGACGATGTCCTTGTTGGTGGGTTTGGAGAGAAGAGATTAGGTGGGCCTTGGGCCAAATGATTTTGGCTAGCACATGACAAGAAAAGAACAATTCATTTGGAAGTAGTTGATGGGGAAGTGGCTGAATCCGGCGGCATCCGCAGGTGGCGCCCGATGGCGCGCCAGGCCCTGCAAAGCCACGGTCACCGGGTGGCGTGACAGGAGGAGGATACGTGCTGCAGGAGCAGATTGCAATTCAAGATCCCCTTGCCACTATATCAGAAGAGATACCCTTCAGATGCGGATGGTCGGCTGTGGTGCTTTTCAGCACTTTCTAGTAATGTGGTATTTCTACATTTTTTTCATTTGGAGCTCAGGCCACAACTTGGATTGGTTTCAAGTTCCCTCTGGCCTTTGTGGTAGTTCATGGTTCATTTGGTAGTCCCCTTTCCTCTTTCTTGTGGACCCTGCAGGAGGACGAAGTGTACGACGACTCCTACGAGAAGCAGCAAGCAGAGAAATGGGCCAATTTGCGAAAGAAGGCGCAGAAGGTCTATGGCCCAAAAGGCTGAGCAGCAAGCAGACGACAAAAAAGCGCCGCCATTTTTTAAAAGGCCCAGGGGGGTAGGCTGTAGAGGTAGTAGCTAGAGGTAGCTAGTAGAAGAGGTAGCTAGTACCTGCAAGTAGCTACTACTAAGGACGCAGGATAGCTCGCGCTTCTTCAACGAAGCTCACCCCCCTTCCTTGAAGAAGCGTTGGCACTAATGATTGAGATTTTTAGGTTTTTAGGGAAACTTAACTTTTCTTTATGCGACTTGGGATGCGGGAAGCTGGCTTTGTAATGATTTTTCATGACCTAAGACGTGCTGTGGTGCAAGAGTTTGAGGAGACCGTTTTGTGTGTGCCCCCCTTGTGAGGAAGTCCAGCATGTTCCAAAGACAGCACGGATTTCACATGATTTGTGATCATTCCGCAGCTTCACAGGCCCAAAGCCTCGCATGCCGAGATAGTCCTAGGACTTGTTTTCACTCTGGAATAGACCTGCACACATGAGGAATAGACGTGTGTCCAGCACTTCTGGATGAATGTCACGCAGGGACCAGCTGCTTAGTCTGGCGTGTCTCTTGTCTCTCTCAGAGTGGACGCTGTGTCTGGAGGCACCCGAGACGCGGGGTCTCTGTGTGTCCCAGTATGAAGAAAGGAATGGAGCTTGGTTATCCATGTCAGGCGCCATGTCTGTCTACGTCCAAGCGAATCATAGGCCTGAATGGTACCTAAGCCTGAATGGTCTAGCGGTGGAGAAACGGCTGTGCAAGTGGGGCGGGCAGGGTATGCGGTATGCCGGAGTGATGTTCCTTGGGGGGCTACTTTGCTATATTGAGATTGTTGAAATAAGCAGCTTGGTGCCCCACATGAACAGAGGCATACAGGTCCGGTCCGATAAAAAAAACGGCCGACCTCATTTCTCGGGCAACTCACCCTCTCCTATGCTGCGCTTGGAGATCTGAAAATGATCTGAGGTACTGGCAGGAGGTCTTTGAACGACGTGGACTCCCTGACCGGGGAGTCTTGGGCGACGAAGATTCGCGTGTCGATCGGCTCTCGGGCGAAGCGCAGGGGCAGATCCTGGGCTGTGGGGTCCATGGTGGTCGCTACTGGGAGATACAGGCCAGGGGCTGAAGGCACTAAAAGTGGGTCGAAGCATGTGGTATTTGGTGTGTGATCCTGTTTTCTGCACTAAGTGGAATTGAGAAGCAGGGCCTTAGCGGCTGATAGGGTATTTTACCTTCACTACCAAATATAAAATGCAATTGCCGTATTTCCTCCCGAATTAGTGACAACTGTGTATTTGCTATTATTTGCTTATATTTGAGCTCGTCTTGGAAGTAACCCGCGAAGGGGAACCCGCGAAGGGGGACCAAATTGTGCTGCACAAAACGCTTGCTTGGATGATTGCATGTTGCAGCCACATGGGATTGCATCATGAGGAATTAATCATCCGCATGTGTTGAGGACCGGGTTGAATCTGAACGACAAAAATTGTTTTGTGCACATGTTGTCTTAAAAAGATTGTCTAAAACTGATCAGACTTTGCAGAAACATAGAAATCCAACAGTCCCTGGCATTTCTTGGAATGTTGATTTGAAGGCTAGGGGGTGTAATTTTCAACCAAATCCAAACGCGCAAGTCATGGTCCAACTCCCAAAACCTATTTACTGTAACAATTCCCTCCACAACCGAAAAAAAAAAAAAAACATGCTGTGGCTGATTTTGCGGTCCGCACACCACAACCAAAACCGCAAGATGACGTGAGATGACAGCCAAAAACTGAGCAACCAAACAGCTGCAGAAAATGCCAAACTGAAGAGTAACTGGCTCCGCTCCCTCTCACGCCACACATCAAACGCGAGGAAAAGTGTCGGCTGTGACCAGCACTGCTACCAACACTGGCCCAAGGCAACCAGAGTCACCTGGGCCACTCGCGCTGTGAGCCAAGTCCGAAGACCGCTACGTAAGGCCGCTGGCTCTACGAACACTTCGACGGGCTTTTTTCGGAAGACCCTGGCCTCGCCAGCGATGGCTGCGTGGCACCGACAGGCTGGAGTGAATCAACTGCAATACATCAGCGAAACAGACAGCCCAAGGCATACCTGACCTGAAAGGAACAGCAACAAAGGAAGGCACACCAAAGCAACAATCCCTTCTGACCAGAGTCGGGCCACATGTTCGATGAGAGGTGCATCGAGCTAGGCAGGTGAATAAACCGATGGTGAAGAGGGAGCAACAAGGGGAGGTTTAGACCTAAGAATCAAGGGAAGCAGCTGGCGACTCTGTTTGGACTCCGTCAGATGTACTACCAACGACTCTACGACCTCGCTCCAAAGAGTATGCGGACGAAGATCTTGAAGGCCTTTGCAGAAAGCAGTGGAGCTAACCGTCCAAGAAGTGGAGAGGAGCTGCCCCCCCTCCATGCGTGTGACTCTTTGCATTCCTGCAGAATCCGGACAAGATTTAATATCTTTTTTTATATCCTGTTTGGTGACACTGGGAGACATCCAAAATACCTTGCCCTGCTCTCCTCCCTAGGTGTGTTCTTCGTTCCTTCACTAAGGAGTGCGACAAACCCATGATCCGTGAAACGATCATACCCCGGTTCTTTGCTCCGAAGCATGTGGGATTGGAACCTTATGAAGCCAAAGATGCTTTGCAAAATGCCTTGGATGTCAATGAGCTGGCAGACTGGTCTGACATCAACATCGATTTTGTAATAGGTGCTGTACTTGCTCACAGAAGCTAGTTTTACATAGTTTTACTATGTTTTACTGCCGTTACACTGAAAATCTTTGCTTTTGCTCAACCGTCCCTGACGAGGCGGCGTTTTTTTTCTGTGGCACGACATCATTGCACCGAAATTTGGATAAACATCCAGAACTGGCATTTTCCAGTCCTGAACACCTGGCTTTGCTTGGAATATGTTTTAAATTGTTTCAATAGTTTCCTGCTTTGCAGGCGATTGCTTGGAATATGTCTAATCGAACCGATATGCTTGCTTATGCACTAATTCTACTGTAGCTTGGTGCATGCTTGACTTGATTGGATCTCACGCCACATTGATTTATATGCCCAAAATGCTTGCGGATCCCTTCTTAGTTCTTTGCAAGAGCAGCAAACAGCGAGGGCCGCCACAAAGCTACACAACACGAATTCTCAGCAGATAGGTTTGTCATACGCTGTCTTGAAAACCGACGGGGTCAGGAAGAGGACTACTTCATCACTGCACAGATGGCACACCGGCTTTTACCCCTGAAATCAGACGTGGCTGCCTTTAACCAACAGCTCGAAGCTGCGAAGGAGTCAGACGGGGCAACGGTTTCTTTTCTTTAAAAGATAGTATATAGTGCCCCCAAGCACAACTTGCTAGTAGGACAAGTAAGTGACCGATCCTGGTCCTGCTTTTTTCGATTGCTCCGAAGAAAAGGGACGTTTGGTTCAGCCTGGAATTCCTTGATTTGTTTTGGACGTTTGTTCAATGGTTGGTGATGACCAGCGTGAACACTGGATCCAGCCAGGATGCCAAAGCCCAGGCCACAGGCCATCGGCCACACCTGGTGGGAATCCGCAACCCGATGATTTTTCACTTGCCCTTGGCCAGGCACAAGATCGCACGGATCACGTGCCTTGGCGGCTGAAGATGGTCGAGCGTTCGTCAACGTCTGAAGAGGTCTTGGCGTCAACGTCTGCTGGTGGTAGTGCCAGCGGTTTGGCCAAGTTCTTACATGGGAAGTTGGCAATGGGAATGGTGCATTTGTGACAAGGACATCCCCCAATTCCTCAAGTACCAACTACCTAAAGACTTATAGACGACCAGGGGCTATGACCATTTGCTTTCAAAGCTTCGGCGTCATGAGCATGAGGCCCCCCTGGGGATGCGGCCCCAAATGGGTGGAAGGAAGGTCCTCAAGGTCCTTGAGGTAGCACTTTTCAGGCCACTCCCCCGAGAACATAAGACAACAAAGAAATGACATGCACCTCAGAATGGGAGACAAAGGATCAAATTTGCGATTTGACTTGGATTAACAGGGTGGGTTTATCCTGACGACGAACGTCGGAAATTGCTTCTCGGATCCTTTCAACATCCGCCCAGGAAAGCAAAGATGATCCTAATCCTTTGCGATCCCCTTGGGCGCTTGGAAAAGGCCTTCATGTTTCATCTCTATTGTTTCCAAGGGAACTTGGCAGAGGCAAAGCAACAGGGGCTTGCCTCGAACTTCACCTTTTTGGGAAGCCCGCGTGACGACACCTGTTTTGACAGCGCTTCTGTGCTGCTGACCGAGAGAGATGGTGAGTTGAAATCGTTTTGGCAGCATGCTGAAGTAGCCGTGCACGTGCCGAACCTTGCGCAACTCTTTCGTGGGCGAATGATTCTTTGTATGTCATTGTATGTACTGCAGTTATGGTGTTATTCTTTTCTAAACAACATCGCTTGTTGGTTTCGCGTGGTATTGTGGTTAAATTGATATAGAAACAAGCAAGATACACTACGTGGTTATATAATTGTGTTTTGACATTGTATTTGTTTTCTTACACAAGATTGGTAGATATCTCTTATTATATTAGGAGCTTGGACTAAACTACTAAACGTTGCAGATTTGTAAGCTTGATGTTGCATTCCACAACTTATTGGATTGACATCAAACACTACTAAATTGTGTAGACAATACAGGACATTCAAAGAATCCTACTTGTGATGCAATGAAATATGTATCACGAGTAAACGTTGACCAACTTGTTGGATCATGTTGCCATAATCATTATATAGAATCTGCTCAATTGGGTAGCCAGATGGTTCCACAAGCAAATCTCAACCATACGCTATACAGCATTGTTGTTTGTGCAGCATGTTGAACCGCTGCCTTCTCAGCACGTGTTGGTAGTTTGGAGCTCACATAGTCACGTGTTTTCTCTTAATGACTATGACCAGAATTGACCAGAGGTGTGGTTTGATATCGCCCGGTCGTTTGCACATATCTAAGGATGGTCGTGCACCAAGAGCAGCTTCGCCGGATTCCCAAGAATGTGTTCGCCTCATTAGCCCATTTCTTGAAGGCGAGGAGTCACCAGACGACCACCGAGACCATTGGTTTACAGAGGAGTCGCCATGAGTGGCCCGAACAGGTGCATTGTTCGTTTGCCCTTGAACAGTGTGAAGAACCACCTCGGATGCACTGCCCAAGATAGTGTATTAGATTGTCATGCGTCGAAGTCGGAGGTTCTTTTTTGCAGCACGGTTGACAAAGTTGAAGGTTGTATACAAGTTTGGACTTCATCCAAGCTATTATTGGGAGCCATCTTCCTCTTTGTTGTGCCTTTACATTCTCCGTTTTTTTTTGCAGATTTCCTACGTCCTCCAACCTAGTAACGATGGCCTCCACCCTAGTAGCGATGGCTTCCACCCTAGTAGCGATAGCCTCCAACCCAATTACGTACCTCAACTCCGGACATGCCGATTTGGTCCTTGGGTGAAACCCTTGGGTGAAACATCCGTGGAGGTGAGCCCCGAGCTCATTCCGAGCTCTACTCGGCACAACTCCATCGGTGGGCATCGCACCGACCTTTGCACCTGTAATTGCAATGCCAGGAGCCCTTAGTAGCCATACCAGGAGCCGCTAGTAGCGTCCTTGCTCCTGGCTGCACCTGTAATTGCTCACATTTAGGACTTAGACACCCTACCAGCAAGGTGATAGATGAATCTCACGAGTATCAGTAGCAGTGCCGACAAATGATGTGGAGAACCGAAGGTGTTTGGTGAACCGCAATTCAACTGATTCAATCGTCAAGTGGCCCGAGCTGCCAAGGCCACAATATGACTCTTGTTAGAGCCTTGCATCGACGACTTCAGCGGGAGTATGACATGCAAGCTCAGTTGATGAAAACCGACAAGGTGACAGTGAGCCGGCTCAGAACTACCCGGTGCTCCGAAATCGATCAGGCCAAGGCAGTGCAATCCAAATCAAAGATGGAGGATTGGGAAGGGGCCATGTTGACTGAGCATGCCATTCAAACCGATTTATATAACCGTAATATAACCCCATTGTAGGTTGTGTCAGTCTGGAACAGCGTGGCTGGAAAGAACTTTGTGGACAGCATCCTTCAAGAATCTGTGACATCCCCGAAGGAGTCGTACTTAGAAGACACACCCTCAGCAGGAGGTAGAACATCAGTAGACTCAAGTTGATGACACTTTCAAGATTGTGGAAGCATCTTCCAAGTTCCAGCCATTCTTGGGGACTACCTGCAACCTCAGCCTTGCAGGCCACGTTTTGCCCCAACGCGGAATGTGCTTAGCACTCATGCCGAATGGGATAGACCGATGAGGAGCTGGTGGCTTGCGCAAGACGTCAGTGCTCAAGACACGATCGCCCAGGTGACGTTTGGTTTCGGTCATCCAGTCTATGATGACAATTGTACAGGTGTTGTGGGCCAAGCTTCTCCCTCATTGTGTCTTTTGGCTGCGGCAAAGAGATGAGTGAGCTCGGGATTCGGGTTGCACGACCATTCTGAATGCCAGGCTGAAGGCAGTTGCTTTGAAGAAAGGTTCGTTGACTACCTGTATGTCTATCACCTCAAGCGCAGGACTTGACAACGGCATGTAATCACCCGCTGCAATCTGAAGACACTGCTGAAGCTCTTGTCCTTGGCCATGATGTCTTGGGTTCACAGAGGTTGAATGCCATTGGTATTTCTGATGACACCAGCCAGACATCAATCAGTCGGAGAAGCAAAGATGGATGGGGAACTCATGTAGGCTATTGATGGGACTTCGGAAAAGGCACAAGCATGTTCCGAAAAAAGCTGGCGACCTTTTTTCGGAGGATCTTTTTCGTGTGCGCCGACGCATGACCCAAGTTTGGCTTCAGATGTACGGCTCAAGAAATAAGCTATAGATATCTATAGTCTCATATAACTGGGTGAAACTAGTCATGACTCATGGCTGTCACCCAATCATGCCATCGTTTTGGCAGACAGTGGTAGTTGCAAGTTGTTTTACAAGATCAGCACGAGTCTCACTAGGTCACTAGGTTGAGACCAAACCAAGCTTCAATTGGCCAACACACACCCACCCCTTAGGGGCGCGTATTCTCACTTGTCCTCAAAGTTATTGATGCAAGTCCGAGACCCAAAGTGCACAGACAGGCAACCTGCTTGAAGAATCTCAGACGGGAAACACGTCTTGCTGAAGCCGCCACCTTGCCATGCAGGAAGCGGCCGGTGCCTTAGCCTTAGCTGGTGCCAGTGGACACCATGTTACTGTATACTGTAGTGCCAGAAGAAGTGGTAGGCTTGTTTGAGCATGAGTGGAGGAGGTTCGAGGCGAAGCAAAACAGTTCATCATTAATCTTGATGTCTTGCATCTGACCGCAAGAAGTGTTTCCGTTTCTATGTTGCTCACTGCATTAGAGAATGCCAAGCTGGAAGAACCTGCTTGCTTTGTTTGGATTGCTGCTAGCTCTGAATGCTTTGAGATCTTGGAATGTCCAGGTCCCCAAACTTGCGTTCGATCAAGATGAATCTGACTATATATATATTATATATATAAATATTGGGAATTGAGCTCAAAAGACGAAGCTATCATAAGCGCAATTTTTGCGCTTCGTTCCTACTTGTGCTTTGTTGCGAGAGGAGAAGTCTTCAACCTCCAAGACCGACTTCCAAAGTCGAGACTCAACGTCCTAGAACCCACAGTTCTTTGAGGCAGACTGCCGTGGAGCTGTGCTCAGGCACCCCCGGCACCGAATATGGCAAGTGCGGAGGTACCCGGAGGTGCCAGTTCAGTGTTTAACCATGTTTGACGAATTCCAATGTCATACATTGGAGTTGGCAACTGTGGGGCCGGCCCACTCCTGGGAGTTTACTAAGAAGTGCTCGTTTCGATTTGCCGTAAACTGTTTGCCCAATTTGTACCTTCTGTATCCTTCTGTATGTTATTACCGCAGGGCATTTACAGTTTCAAGCTTTCCACGACAACGAACGTCTTTTGTACTCGTAGGCGGAGCCTTGAATTTTTTGAACCCGTCATTTGCCAACGAACGTCTTGGTGTGTGGGAGCACACGGGGATGACACTCAGGGGTGCCAGATTGACTGTAAGGGACTGAGATGGGATCAGGCAAGGGGTGACTCAGGGTTTTTTGGCTAACTGAAAGCTGTCTTTCATGTACTGAACATTTCAATAGGGCTGTTCCACTGCAGCGCGTTTCAAGCACATGGTCGACGCAGACTTCTTTCTGGTTGCCTCGAAAGAAAGGACAGTCCTAGTTGAGCTGGGTCTTGTCTTTGCCGCGTGTTGAAAGTCGGGCCTCTCACCCTCTACAAATCCGCATTCAAAACCCAATTGAAGCGCACTACTACTAAGTTGGTCAGAGGACATTGAATTTTTAATTGCATCATGTGAATTCTAAATGAGATGTTTGCTCTACAGTCGCAAGTCAACTCATCAATGTGACCAGAGCAAATAACTTCAAGCTTTTTGAGATGCTTCGATAACTGAAAGTTGAAGTTCCTTTGGGTGCCCAAACTATGAGGTTGAGAGCCCAGCTGATCAACGTGCTGCAAAAGCACTCATGGGCACCAAAGTGGCCAAGGCCCTTTGGCCCAGTTCTTGTGCGACTGGAGAAACAAAGCAGTCCAAGAAGCAAAGGAGGAAGATGGAGGAAGTCTAGGAGTCTAGGCTTTAGGGTTTAAGGACCAAGTCAAGTGCGCATTTCATTGATGAACACCGTCCCGTTTTGATCGGGCCAGGCCACAGAGGCCTTTGCTGAAGCCTTGACCAGCTGCATGAAGGCCGAAGAACGCGAAGAACGTGTGGTGAGATGAAGAGGGGCAACAAGATGATGACAGGGCAAGGATGGACAAGGGCCCGAAATCGGGCTTCTTGCACATCGCGTGGACTTCAAACATGGCTTCGGCCCATGGTTTGCACATGTTCACGGGCAGAAGCACCGGGGTTTTGATTTAGTGTCCTTTTGGGGGGGGCCTATTCATCCATTGGGTCGGCTCGTCAGAAGGGTTAATGACGCGATGCAGAGGTAGTGTCAAGAGGTCCAGAGGCCAAGGGCCAAGGAAGGCCAGGGGCTATCTTGAATTAGAAGCTGCTTTCTGAAGATTCAGTAATTAGCACATGGAGGCATTTACCGAACAATTGTCCGAACAATATATTCCATCAACCACAACTTCCCTGCGTCAATTGGAGTGCGACAGCTTGGGTAGAGGGCCCACTGGAGAGTCCAACACGCGGCAGCTCACGTCGAACTGACCGAACTGAACGGGGCCGCGTCTCGCGAATCGATGGTGATCCCCATGCTTCGCACACGACGGGTATGCAGAGAACGTTCGTTTGAATCGAGGTCCCGCCTGGTTGGGCAGCTGAGATTCATCGAGAAAGCCGAGAAACGTTGGAAAAAGCGAAGGTCTGCCTTGGACCTGGCCTGGCAGATTGCTAGATGTTATCTTTACAGAACGCTTCAGACCATATGCTTCTACGGATGATGCGAGGGTGTTTCAGACATGTTTCTCACACAGGAGACCTGGATCTGTACCTAGACTCGACATCATCACTCATGATATGTCCACCATTGTGCTCCAAAACCTTGATGCGTTGTCCACCCGGTGAAGCCGGCGGCTTTGCGGGGGAACCCGGGTTCCGACCGCCTCCGGTGGTGCGTTGGCGCACCATGCGAAGCAACTCCGACGCTTTTCCCACCTCGAGGGCCGCAGCTCATCCGGCGCCAAGTCCAACACTGTCCAACACGGCCTGCGACACCTGGAGAGAACCTGTAAGACGCCTGTTCATATAGGACATGTGCAAAAGCTTGGAAGAGTTGGACCAAAAAGAGGACAACCAATTCTGCTATCAGACTTTAATGAGAATAACATTGATACCAGTGAGTGCCAATCAGCGAAAATGAACCAACCCGTCATTGACAGTCTCCTGGAGCAGATTGGAGATTGGAGACCCATCAGCAGCGGTGGAGTTGCTTTGTGCACCATGGATCTGCCATAGGCAGGCCACTTTTGCGTCGGGCACTCAGAGAGCTGTTTGTGGGTATGCGTATGCCACTCTTGGGCAGCTCAACTGGGCCAGCAGTTTGCCGGCCATCCTGCCACCCAAAACGAAGACGTTTGACGTGGACATACGTTCCATAGTTCGCGCAGATCCTTCGTTCCATCAGGGATGGTGGAAGCCTTCGAGACCCTAGCGACAGCGCCCAAGCGCAAGGCGTGGCTTCGCAAATGACCGAAGAACGGCTCCGAAAGGGGCTCCGAACCTGGGCCTTTTTTGTAGCCAAGTCATTTGCTTGTTGGGCTACCAGCCCTTGGTCCATGTATATACTTGGTCCGAACTTGCTACCTGGTCATTTGGGGTTGTGCTTTACTGCCACCTCCGAAGGCTGTCCCATGCCCTCCAGGCCAAGTCGTTGAACGATGAGGGAACCCAACTGTCGGAGGCTTAGGGACGGGTAAAGAGGCCGAGTGCCGGAGTGCGGAAGTTCTTCTGGAAAGAAGAGTATCCTTATGGGCTCGGAGGTCTGTTTGCTTTGTTTGCTTGCACCGGAAAAGAAGGCCTTTGTTGTTGAGCTTGGAGGGCAAAGGAGGTCTGTTTCGGGCGGCCTGGGAACCTAGAGGAAGACTGCCAAACAGAAGACATGGAGGCGAAGAGGTAGAACCTCCACAAGGATCCACAAAGCTCGACCGTTCCTTCCAGAATTCGTCGTACTGCAGTGGCACGCAACTCAGACGTCTTGGAGTCTTGGACCTATGCCTACGCCACTCCCCGGCCTTGAAAAGACTTTGTGAGTGTTGGTTTACAAATACTGAAGCTATCTCAAGCTATATGTAGAGCAGCAGCATGCAGGAGCTGCTCAATCTTCTGGCATTCCTTTGACTTTGACATTGGTACAACTGTACCCGTACCATGACGGAGCACTTGTGCCTCTAGCGTTTTTGCGTTGATTCATGCTCACCTCTTGCCATTCATAATTTGATGGCGGCCCTGCGTTGCCTTCAGGTGGTCCTTCATGTGCTTTCCGGCTGAGACCATGTGCTGCTTCCAGGACCCCACGTCGACGACGCGTCGACGCCACGTCGACCAGACCACGACGGTGGTTTGCGGATCATGTCCCGAGATGTTCAGAGCTCATTGAATTGGACCGGTTCGTAGCCAAATAACTGACAAATGCATAAAAGTGCTTCAACTGTAGAGGTTGCATGAGAGAATCATGTCGGATCCGCTTTGCCAGGAGGAAGAATTTCGGGCAGATGAGCTGAGAGCAGCTGGTCTCTTGAGCAGCTTGGCTCACGATCTCACTGTCGAATCCCGCATTACTGTAATACTGTAAATCCTCCAGCTACCTTCAAATGAGCATTTCTACATTATTCCAATGCACCTGACCCATTTTCTGGGTGGTCCATTGGAGCGAGGGAGCATTGAACGTTGGAGACGTCGCTTTGCAGTAACAAGTGATCCGAAGAGTCGAGTCACCCTGAAGATCGAAGTTCGTCTTTGGACACACGAAGAGTTGTGTTTGGAGCACTGAACAGCTTGGCGTTCCAAGCAAGATGTAGACCAAGAGATGAGTGTTTTGTTGGGGGGTTCTGACTTCGGGAGACTTGTCAAGGTACTGGTGAAGATGTGGCTCAGGAGGCCTGAATGAACCAATGCGTAGTGTGACAGATGGCAGTTGTGAGTGAGAATGTCCAGTCAGCTGTTTAACATGCGGCGGTGGGTCAGAGTTGGACACCAAGACCATGATATCTTTTGAACGACAGCCAATTCACAGACCCTTTCAATCAAGATGTGCCATTTGAGGAGGTGTCCAAGGCAATTTTGCTGTACTTTGGTGTGCCTTTGCGTGTGAAACTGTCAATGCTTTGTTCGATATTGGATTCGTGTGGCATAGCAGCCAAAAGAACACATGTGATGACTGCTTTGGACTAGACTAGACGATCAAAATTGCAGCGGCTATTTGGTTCCTTTCAGACTAACACGAGAACCGGCCCATGCGGTCGCTGCCACCCACCTACCGTGTCGTGAGCGTACCGCGTACCGGGGCACCGAGGATGCCACGCCCAGTGCGCGGCGGATTTTCCATGATGGGGTCACACCAGAGGACTGCGAGAGAATGGGAATGGGTGAAGAGGTTACTTGGCTTAGCTTGTTAGAGTGTTTGGTTTGGGTAAGCGGTAAAGAGTTAAAGGCTGTTTGGAGAGGGGTTCCAGGATATGTTGGATATGTGAAATGTGTTGAGTAGCAGCAGCAGTCTTAGTGTTGGTTTGTCGCCATTTACTTGAACCAATGTGTTGCCTTTGCTTGCCAATCATGCCAAAAGTGTGATTGCCTTTGCCCGTATGCCCAATGCCATGATGTCATTCCAAAGACTATTTCAGCTCAAGTTGCTACTAGTTTCAAAAGTGCAAAATTAGTCATCCTCATTTGCTGTGGAGCTTTGCCATGGGATGTGCTCACGTGTAGCTTGGCGCCTTCAGCGTCGGAGATCTGGGAAGCAGAGGGTGCAGGGTCTTCATTCCCCTCAGGTTAGTCAAAGTACAGCACAACTTACCACCAGTTTGCAAGTGCAAATATGTCCAACACCATGTTTCTTTCGCCATCTTTCACCTTAATTCATGAGCCCTGTTTTGGTGGCCTGGCCTTGTTGAGGGTTTCCAGTCTTGAGGTCGGCAGAACGAGAACGACCTCGGTCACAGGGTCTACCAGTCGAATCGTTGGTTTTGTGAGGAACACCCAATCGACTGGGAACGCAGTGGCCATTTCCAAATAAGAAAGGTCAACATCGAATGATTGGACGTGACCTTTCTTATGTGGTAGCTGCATGATTTGCTTGTTCTGGTTTGTGGTTGCATGATTTGCCTATTTTGGTCTCCGTTCTAACCAACAATAAACACCCGCATCCCGCAGCAAGAACATTCCCACCAAACTCGTGCTAATTAGTTGTCGGGGGGGGCACCATGAAGCAAACCTTCGTAGTGCAGAGGCATTCCTTGAACTGAAACCCTTGAAACAGACGGAAATGAGTTGGATGCTTGCATTCAGGAAGCAAGCCAGTGAACCAGAGTTGAAGATGTCGCCGTCGCACCAGTTCAAGGCGGATCCAGGGTTCAATGGATTTGTTTGTCGTGCTCGTTCTCACTGTGGCAATCTCTTCAAAATATGGGCACCAGGCATCACATAACCTGGTGCTTGTGCGATATTTGTTGAGATGGATGATATACTTCTATATAGTTCTATAATGTTCTATATCATATGAGGGCCGTCCGTTATTGCCAGTGAAGGAATTTCGATCAACTGTTAAAACAAACATGTCGCGAAAGGGAAACTGCAGTCCGCGAAAGGCCGGCGATAGGACAGCGAAAGACACGTGCCAACCTAGACTTACATACAATGTGCATAATACATGACACATCCTTTTTCCCGAACAGAAACACGGATTTTTCGCGAAAGGGCTGCGAAAGGCGGGCGGTAGGCCCGCGAAAGAGCGCATTGCCTGGAAGGGCATTTGCCCATCCATGGCCTTGAAATAAGCCTTGAAACCTTTGTTTCAAGTATGAATTGACAAAGGGTAATTAGCCTGCTTCTCAGCGCACTAAAAGGGATTTAGATGTCCCAAGCACTGTGAACTCTGTGCAATGGAACAAGCTCATCACAATGCGCGAAAGGAACACCTGTGGTTTTTCTGCAAACGCGAAAGGGTCGCGAAAGGCCGGCGATACAAGCTCAAAAAGAAGAGCTTTGTTGGACAACCCCCATATAGTTCTATGTAGTTCTATATAGTTCTATAATTGATATAGTTCTACAATGTTCTATATATGTCATGACAGTTTTTGGCCAGCCAGCCTGGCCTGGTGTTGTCATCGGTGGAGGATCCATTTGACAAGATCCTCATGGAGGACACTGGCTTCGGCATACGAGGTGTCAGTGACGCATCCACCGCCTCGGGTGCTTCGCAGCTTGGCGGGTGCTGAGCGAAGCCAGCTTCACTCGTTGAATTTATGTGACAAACAGAGAGTACTCCAAATCCTTTTTTGTAATATCAATGGCCTCCAACATCCTCCAACCTACTAGCGATGGCCTCCAAGCCAAGAGCGATGGCCTCCACACTACTTGCGATAGCCTCCACCCTACTAGCGATGGATGGGGTAATGTGTTTTCCACATGTTTCCATTGTTTTTCTAAATCAATTCTTGTTGGAATAACGTCGACAAGGCTTGGGGACTGAATTATGTGGAGTGTTGATCTGTAAATACACGCTCCCCCCCTCTAGCAAACAATTGGGAATAGCATGGTTCCCCCAATAAGACTTTCAGGGAGTGTGGCTTAGGCATTGCTTTTAAAAGGGACACAAACGAATATGAAAAGCTGTTGAAATGCTTTAAAGGGAACAAAGGCAAATCAAAGGGAGTCCACTTGCCATTAGGAATTCCTCAGGTGCTACAACAGGGCAGAAAGCAATTGGAAATCAAAGGAGGTCGGAAATTCAGTGGTGAAGTTTGTTGCAGCCAGACAAAGTTTTCTACATTTTTCTGACCCCTTGAAGGAGCCATTTAGGTCAATTCCTGAGTGCCCCTGGACGATTCCCTTCCAAACCTTCCAACATTGATGTTTGCAATATTTTATATAGTGAGTGTTACATAGTGTTACTACAGTAAGTTTTTTTTTTATCAAAGGGATTAAATCAGAGTCCCCGGACCAAACAATAGCAAAGAACAATAATCAATAGGACACCCAAAGGAAACAAAAGCTAATCAATAGGAACCGCAGTGCTGGTGGTTAAATTAAACCAAGGCAATGAAAACTAATTGCAGAACAAACTAAAACAAACTAAGATATCATGACGCATCAAGTCTGGGAGTTTGGGATGCTTTCCCCCGAAAGTGTGGTCACACTTTGGGTTCTTACGTTGGTGAAGGCTGGGTTTGATCAAGGGTGCTCAAACCTGCATGGGCGGTTTGGGCTGCGGTCTGAAGTCGACTGGCTCGTTGCGTCTGCGCGGTCGGAGATCAGAGCGGTTGTAGGAGACCAGGTTGGAGTCATTCTATAGCTTTGTGGTTTTTAACAGAATGTGATTGAATCATGGGGGCTCGGGTTCTACTGTCCTTTCATGCAACAAGTTGTTGAGTCTTTACGTTAACTTGGGAATTTGATTCTATATATATATAGGCAATGGTTTGTTGGGTTGTCTGTGTGTATGTATCCCGACTGTGGTTTTATTATAGATGCCGAGGTCTTGTTAGACTTTCTGTGTATAAATGGGTGCTTTGATTTCATAAAGGGTGTTGTGTGATGCTGTGCGCTTTTGTGTGCGTGCGTCGATGGGGTTGTATAATATATAGATGTCGAGGTTTGTTTGGGTTTTGTGGTAAGTTTCATGTTTGGGGTTTATGGTGAGTTTCAGATTCTAGACTTTGTATGGTGTTATTACACTCTTTCTGCGTGTAAACGGGGGTGATGACTTTATAACGATTCCAGGTTTCTTCAGGTGTTCTGCGTATAGAGGGGGGGGTTGGTCTGTTTTCGAGTCCAGGTGCTGTATGGCGTTAGGTTTTTGTGTGTACAACATACCTTCCATTTGTTCCGGGTTGCCCTTGGTCCGGGATGCCGCTGTGAAAACAAGGAGAGGCATGGCCAAGGACCCTGATGCAAAAGAGTTTGGGAAGGTTTCCTACAATGTCAACTTTCAGGGTGGCGAAGTGCAAGACACTAGGAAATTGCTGAACATGATGTATTTTCCAGTGTCTTGGCATCAGTAGATCTACAAAAAGGGGAAGGACCTCAATAATTCTACAAAGGACGCTGTTGGGACAAACATGGGGACTGCACAAAGCCTGGCAAGAGACTGGACAAATTATTGTGGCCCTGCTTCTACAAAGGTCTTTTTGGTTGTCTACAGTAGATGAGTCACCGGAACATGTTCCGATCGCGTCCGATCGCATGGATCGAAATGTTCTGAACATGTTCTGATCGGAATCCTGGATTCTTTTCTTTGATGAGCTGAGGTTTGCTCACCAGAAGCAAAATTCATCAGAGAACTTCGTGGATACTTTGTGAAAACTGCATCATTATCGAAGAATCTATTAGAGAATTCACCAAAGCAATATTTGGATGTAGATATAGACCAGGTGCCTGTGATTCAATAAGGAAGCTACTTGCTTGCCCTGCCAACCCGGAACACAAATTCTGTAGAATTTTATGTTTTCTTTGTTCTGAAGATCTTGGACATGGCAATGGGGACCTTGTGTCTGTAGAGTTTGAACCCGGGGGTTGCCAATTTGTACAGAATGGCAATACCCGGGTATCTAAATTGGAAGGGGGATCGACACGATGTGCAGAGCCATCGTGGCAAGTGCAATCGTGACCTTTGCACGTCACATGCGCTGTTTTATGTGCTGTTTGATGTGGGGTCTCCTTTGTGTGGTCGAGAACGTGTTTACTCACATAGGTTTGCTCGCATATGTATGCTCGAGACTGCGTGTTTATATAGTGAGTGTAGATATATGTGTGTGACTCACCTGTGAGTGGTGCTCTCAAATATGTACTCTTTTATGTGCCCTCTCATGTGTGTGTGCTCAAGCGAGTGCGGAAGTTCGCTGATTCACCCTTGTCTTGTTCTACTTAACACTGTTTGAGGTCTTTTTGCGGGGATTATGTCAGTTCTAACTTCCAATTCAAGTCAAGATCCCCAAGACTGATGTGTTGGAAGGGATCCCTCGAGGCAGGCAACAGGCAGCACGAGGTTTTTGATTTTTTGGACAAGTGCTTGTTGACAACAATAACTGTACATATATATATATATGGTCAAATTTGGCATGAGAACCATAGGAGGGGTGGTAAGATATAAGGAGTAGCAGAGCGACAGTTGCAGCTGGAACTAGTCTTCGTTATCTTTCACATCCGAAACTACCACAGAGGTGCAGCTGGCCATCAGGTCCCGTTCGTTAAGGAAGTGTCAGACCACTCATCAACACCCTGTGCCTATGCGATTTGCCCATGAGCCTTGTACAATATGCTTCTTTCTCGGCTCAGGGATGGCTCTGATGACCTCCTTGATTTGTCATGGTCTTCGTGGAATGAGACGGACCCAGCTCCATACATGCCACCAACACGACAGACGCATGAAGCCTTCAACAATGTGCTTTGGCCTTCAGTTGAAGATGTTTGTTCAGTGATTTGCTTGGAAACAACGTTGGAACTAGAGCCACAGCGACACTTGGGAAGTAGTATGAAGTAGCAAGTAGTGGGTCCTATCTACTGTCAGCTCAGCCTCATGTCTTGCTTTACCTGGGACAATGAATGCACTTTGATCAGGGTCTACACCATGGTTCATTTTGACCTGTGGACTGTATAATCAATTTGAAAGCTCGTGAGCCACCTCAATTTAGCAGTTTTGATCACCTCCGGAGCTTCAGGTCATGGGCAAATTCTTGAATCAGGTTGAACAGAAGCCCAAGAGGCCATGCCGTCCTGGACTGATGTATTGGTTCATGGATGATGTGCAAGTGGCGATCCATTGGTTTGTGCAAAGTACCTGTGTTTTGACCATTCCTACCATGCATCTGTGCATACATAATATATATATATATAGAGAGAGAGAGAGTATATGCTTATCGTATAAAATACTGTATGTGCATACACTCCTGGATGGGCGCAGCTGTCCTTCAAAAGAACAATGCGGCGACTTCATGACATGCAGGATGTTCATGAATCAGTAAAGCCTGGCCCGTACCTGTCCGGTCAACTTGCCGGGATCATTGAACCCCTGCCTGCACTGACCTGATGGAAACTTGTCAGCCATCATTCCAAGGGACGCAATCCCTGGCCGCCAATGCATACGTTGTGTCTTCTTTGCAGAAGACAGAATCATGGCTTGTTCCTTATATTACGTAGAGGCGTAGAGTGCAGACCCTCGTCGATGTTAGTCTTTGTTATATGTCTACTGTTTTAATATGCTCTTGAGTGTTTAGCCGACATTCAAACCAGACCCGCCCCAGCCAGGTTTGAGAAGATTGTCAGCATGTACCGGGCACGATCTGGCTTCACAGCGGACGAGGAAGATGTCATGGAGACTGTTGCCATTTGAAAGGCGGGTGGAAGGGGGGGGCATGTATTCCACCAAAATTCGGATGTGCTGTATGTAGGTTTGCTTTTCTATGCTTTTCTAGTGTATGCCACGTAGCTGTGTGACTGCAGGACCAGCAGAATTTAGCTTACTATTATGCATGTTTGTGCGCCCAATTGCATTTGCCTGCGAGGTCTCCTTGGGAGAGGATGCGGAATTTGAGATGCTGTATCGCTCTCTTGGAATATTCTTTATTATAGGAACGTGGTCCTATCTGATCTTGGGTTTGCCCTAGAGAAAGATATGCCATTTGAATCCTGCCAAGTTTGCAGTGAGCCGCCGCAACGTGTAGCAAGCCTTAAGTTTGGTAGTTGAAGCGAAGGGCTGCGGCCTTCCTTCAGCTAAAGATAGAAGGGTTTCCTACGCTTTTCACGGCGGCACGAATGCGCTCGTTGACTGCAGCTATCTTCGCGGAAGTACAAGCTGTGTGTCAACTTGCAGTAGGTTTAGGATGCAAATGTTCTTTGTTCTAATTAACGATGCAGCTCTTGAGCACTTTTGAGTGCTTCGAACTGCAGGTTTGTGCTCGGGGCAGGGTCCAGGTCAGGGTTTGTGCTCGTGTTTGCTGAGAATTCGCTTGAGATGTTTTGGCCTGGACCGCGCGCTGGGAAATGCATCGGTCAACGATTCGATGCAGAAAATATTCTTGCTTCCAATATTCTATGTGAAACTTGCACCTCTTGGGCACCTCATATTTGGCTTCGCTACTTGGGAACCAAGTGGCTTTTGCGCTGCCTTTCATGAAGTAGGCTCTAAATTCTTAGGTTTGCGACTCGATGTGCGGTAAGGTGTCCAATGCTTGACCAGACCACTCCGAGCTGTTTTTTTGTTTGGGTTTGTGGGCAACTTCTTTGGACTCACGGAACTGGCATCGCTCGAGTCTGCTCATGCAGCGCCGTGCAGCGCCCATGTGGCTGAATGTCGCCGCGCCCTTCAGAGAGAGGAGGCGACGCTGTGTAATGTGTACAGCAATGCACACCTGTCTGTTCTGGGCAAATTGAGAAGATCAAGAGCCCAGTGACCCGACGCTGTGCAAAAGAAGGAGTGCACCGGACGTTTGGCACTAAATGCAAATAATTATCGATGTGAGGATTGGAATATTTTTCCTCGGCACAATGCCAAACGCATGGCTGCAAGGTGAGTAGTATACAGTAGGACTTTGAGTGGGTTAAAGGGTACTGTATGTGTCATATGTTTATATTTTTGTTGCTGGCCAAGACGGGGCCGGCAAACATTTCACCAAGGATGACAATAAAGCGTGAGTTAACTTGGGTAATTATTATGCTTACCCTGCTTGTGGTTGTCAAGATTTCGGAGGAAGCTCAAGGGCTCTGGGCAAATTTCTGTTGCAGTTTCTCACAGTGACGAAAGTCAGAGGTCTGAGGGCTTTGGGACAGTGGACCAGAATGATTTGTCAGACTTGCCTTTGAAAGGAGACTGAAGCCTCAGGCCGGGCAGTTGTGTTGAATGTGGAGGCAACTTGCCCGAAGATGTCTTTTTTTTCAAGGAGCTGTGCGTCGACCACCAGCTGTCAGGAATGACTCATGGGATCGCGAATCTTTAAGTGCAAGGAACCCATGCTGTTTTGCCTATGCGCCAGGCGAGGATTTCCGGTTCAAAGAGCAGCTTACGCCTGCCCTAAAGCAGGAGGTACAGCAGATCAAAGCGGACTTGGCGGCAAGGGACGCCGAATCGCTAGGCGGGATGGTCGCCTCGGATCGGGAATCTTCCGGTGTTTGTCTCCTTCCTCTGTCAAAGGCTTGTTTACAAGTTAGAAGATACCCTGTGCTGTCCATGAGATGTTGCAAGAGATTCAACACTTAAAAGCATTTAAAGGCTACGATAGCAGTTATGATACTCCAAGCTTTGTTTGAGCAAAGGAATGCTCCAAAGATGGTCGTTCTCCCGTTCAGCTACTACTCCCATCTCAGCTCTTGCCAGTTGATCTGGAGCCAGACGCTCATTGTGAGGCAGGTGGTTGAGCTGGGCCATAATGCCGGCATATGCCCACAGGTCTAGACGTTGCATGACAGCATGGCATGTGCCGGGACAGTAGTGGAATGTCTTTAAAACTTTAAGGATCTTTAAAGGTTTTGTTGAGGCTGTTTCGGATGGGCAACTTTGGTATAGTGGAGAGCAAATGCAGCTAAAAGTTTCAACATGTTCTTCCGCGAAACAATGTTCTTATTGACACTTAGAGTGGTCAGTAGGTTGCAAACGTAGCAGCACTTACAGTTCTTTGGCCTTGGTGCTTATGACACATTTGGTGAACCATCACACACCCCAGTAGAGCTCGATGATTTGTGGCAACAGGTGTTGTTTGTGATGTGTAGCAGACTACCTCACAGCTTTGCCTCAAAGCGACTCAGTTAAGCAAACCACGTGATTGGACTGCTGCAGGAATGCATGAATGATGCATGCATCCATGCATGAAATCATAAAGGCTTATGGCCCTGTGGAGCTCGCATGCAACGGTATAGTATAGGTCTTTTAAGACGACATGAGATCCAGATAATCAGGGGAACCCTCCGAGATGTTCTTGACAAGTTATTTAACTTGTGAAGTTCCTAGGTTGCCCGTTCCGGTGTCAAGAAAGGCTTCCATGTGCGACCAGAGTGGTGCCACCAGAGTGGCCCAAGCGTTCAACGCGAAGGCTTTCTTGAGGAACACTTTTTGTTAAAGACCACTGAGTAGGAACAAGAAGCTACTAGGGGCTCCTGACATCGCTACTAGGAGCAAGGACGCTACTAGGAACAAGTGCATCGCTAGTAGTAACAAGTGCCTTACTAGTAGTAACAAGAAGCTATTAGAAACAAGTGCCACGCTACTAGGAGCAAGGACGCTACGAACGGAGCTTTGCCCCAACATTGCTGTGCACAGGCTCACCAGCTGCCGCGCACCAGTGCGGACCGGGGGAGGGGCGCCTCAGGGCGGGCGGAGGAAGCGAACCCGGAGGTGCCCGCAGAGAGGCCCTTGGCCTTTGAGGTGGGGTGATGACAGTTTGCTTCAGGGTAGGAAGATGATTAGTTCAAAAGTGACATCAATCAACAAACTCAGATCATCTCAGATTATGCTTCATGTAAATCAACACCCTTGAAAGAGTTGGAAGGATCTCTTAAGTAAGTCTACACAGCTCAACACTATAGACTACCGCCCAACCCTTTCGATTGTGCTTCAAAAGGCTGAGATGATTACAGGAACAAAAGGAAGCCAGGTTTTAAAAGGGTCATCGCGAGCAATTTCAGCAAGACCAGTTGCTTGGGAGAGGATGAATAGTGAGGCATACCGTGGTATACCCCCCCAAATCCAAACAAACAAACACCACCTGTGCTGGTGTTCCAAGGGGCATCACTTGCCTCCGCCGCGACCAGGTGGGCCACGGCAGTTTTGCTTTCGCACCCCCGCCGGAGGATCGGCACCTTGGAAGCGCTGGGGGAGTCACGGTGAGGAACCGGTGAGTGCGTCGGCGTGACAGACGGTGGAACGTCAGGTGAGTCGGTTGACGTAAGAACCGAATTGTGGCCCCCAAGCGTTCGAAGCGATGGCCGGCGGAAGAAAGGGCAGATCAGATGTTGCTTCGAAGTGGAGAGGCTGCAGATGCTGTTTGCATATGGTGCATCGACCAGGGGCTTTTGAGCTGGAGGAAAAACATGACACTGGGTGCAGGTAGAGTTGGTATGGGTTCAAGTTGAGGGTTTCAACAAGTGCGATCCGATAGTTTCTGTCTTGCCAGCTTGTCATGGGATTTGTGGCTTGTCATGGGATTTTCCGACTCGGGGTCGCATAGTCGGAGATTCAGTTGTTGAGTTGCCATGATGAAGTTAACAATTAGTGCCCAAGAGCAATGTCCCTGGATGTCCCTGGGTCGAAGTGGACAATGCTGCTCCTCTCTCAGATGACGGAGTATCTTTGCCTATGTTCCCAGGAGACTGATTTAAGATGATTTAAGAAACCCGCTGACTTGTTTGGTTTCACACCTTTCAGATCTTTAAGCCTCTCTAGTGCGGCTAGTGCTTTGAATTGGTGTTTTGGGCCCAGGTTCCAAGGCTTTCAGGAAGTCGGAACCTTGAGAGAGGCCTTGTCGATCTGAGATGTCCGGCGTGTCCGGTTGGATGCCTTGGTTGGAATCCAAAACCCATCGCTCTAAAGACCCGGAATCCTTGGACACTAGTGTCACTAGTAAGAGATTTGAGCCAACTTTAGGCTGATAGACCTGACAGACCTGACAGATGTTGGGCGGTTGAATCGAAGAAGCTGCAAGTTATTCAATCTAGCTTGATTCTGTGTTGGTTGTAGCCCTATTCTGAATCTTGGCGGCATGGCTGTGCTCATGGCAGGATGAATCGTAGGCACAGCAGTTTGAGTCACTGCCTTGGCTGCCGGTCATCTCAACCATAGGATCAGTCGAGGCTGAGGCAGATTTTCCGGCAGGTGCGGCAGCCACCGTACCTGCTGAGGCGTTTAGCTGCGGTCGGAGGTAGGAGGCTGAAAGCCACTTGAAGCAGCTGAAGTATACCTATAGTGAAGATATATGCAGACCTTGCAGCACTCACTAAGCCTTTTTCATTGAAACAGTGGCAACGCAAGACACCAAGACCTTTGCGGATGAGGGAGCATTGCAAAGTACATCTGCGACAGAATGTGCTTCATGTCGCCACTTTTGTGTACCACGGGCCGCAGTCAGCTCCCGATACCTCACGATGTCTATTTGATCCAACGCTAGAGATGGACCTGAAGCTGGTTTCAACATATCAACTTAATTCAGCCAGCTAGAGTTCAGAACGAGGTTTGCTTGTAGGTTTCAAGATGTTTCAAAGCCATTTCAGACTGGGCATCGTTTCAGTTTAGGTGCAGATATCACGAAAGGTAGCCCTTTAGGGGATACCTTGAGTTTGTCTTGCGAAGCAAGTGTTGGGACGTCCGGGTCTAATAATTGATCGCTCAATTCAGACCCCCCCCCCCCCCCCACCCCCGCCCCCCCCCCCCCCCCCCCCCCTCTAAAATCAATTCTCGCCTGGAGAACGTCTTCGTGAGCCTCTCATGATTTCAGGATAGTTGAAACCCTCTTGAACATTGAGAAAGAGTGAATATGAAATTCTAATCACGAAAGGTGTTCCCCGAGGGGTACATACCTAGAGTTTGTTTTGTGAAGCACGTCAATTCTCTCCTGGGGAGCGTCTTCGTGAGCCTCTTATGGTTTCAGGATAATTCAAATCCTATGATGTTCCGATTCAATGCTCACCGATGATCTGAGCCATGGGGCAAGTTTGTTTTCCTAAGAACCTTTTTGAACATTTCGAGAGCATATGTTTGAACATTTAGAGTGCATATGAACATATTTTTTTTACGAAAGGTCGCCTCCGAGGGGATAAATCACCATGTCGAACATTGCATTTTTGTTCCTGCCTCTCGCGTTCTCTTCTCTTCCCGCTGTCCTACCTTTCGTGTCTCCCTCCTCTCAAGTCAAGTTGTAACCCAGCCTTAGCCAGGCACAGAGACTGAAACCTACACAGCAGGGTGGCTTCCGTGGGTTGAGGGCCCCTCCACCCCGCGTAAAGAGATCTCATCTGTGTGACGTGAGATTCAGCCTCTCCAGCATCCGCTTCGGCCGCGGAGAAACCACCGTTTTGCTTGAAGGCAGCGGTAGTCGGCTTAGGTTTCACACCAACTCCAAGTCAGCTGGAGTCGGATTTGAGAAAGATGGTGAGGTGCTTGCAGATCAAGTTATTAAACCTATGAATATCTATGAATTATATATAAGTAGTTTCTTAATGACTCGTGGAATATCGCTCGCTGTGGAAAACCCATTTATTTTATCATGTTGATTGACCGGGATGAACCTGCGTCGCGTGAAGATGCTTCTATTGGAATGGTGGTAAAAACACAGGGCCTTGGATTTGAACTGTCAACGTACATGTGTGCGGCACAGAATGGTTGAGTGCGGAGGGAGGTGAAGCTGGAAGACATATTAAAAATGGAGGTTTTGAAGGCATTTGTCAAGGTCGTATGCTTTGCCTGTTGGTTCCCCTAGTCTTGGCAA